ATTTTTCCATTTTTAATGTTTTTATTTATTGTTTTAGGGTTTAGGGTGTCATTTTTTAAAGCATCCCCAATCATTTTAGTACTCCTGTAGTCATGTTAGGAGTTTTTAGAGCGTCCCTAGGTTATAAAATGCGCAAATTATACGGCTGTAACAATAGCCACACAAGGTGAGATTAAGGAGCCATAAATATAGGCACTACATACTGTAAATGGTGCCTACATCAGAGTCTAGGCAACATAAAATAACTCGTAAATGAACACTGATACAATGTAGTCCCGTGAACTTAATCCTAGAGATACTAAACTAACACTACAGGGTAGGATATGACGTATTAGTGCTTTGACTAACCTGATACTACGTGAAATCTTGAAGGTATGTCGTTAATATAGTCGGAAGAAGAAAACGTTTGAACTGTGTTGGAGCCAGTTGTAAAATAAATGCGCTTTAATCGTCTAGAGACCCGTCTCATCTCTTTAGTAGAGCAAAAGTGGACACAGAATCATCAATAGTAAAAAATGAGCAGCTATGGCAACAGTTACAAGCTGGAAGGTCGAGAAAACAGGAAGTACCAAAGGGGTCCTCACTCCTGCTAAAACCAGGAGCCGGAGAATGCGGAGATGCCAAATACGGGACACTGGGAGTCTCGGAGCCGGAGATGACCCTGAGATGATTGCTGAAAACCGGAGCCGGACGGACGGACTGATGCGGACCCGACTAGTCTAGACCCGACAGGACCATAAATATCCATGTAAAGGACAATCATTCATGGATAGTCTGTCTTTAAAACACTTCTATACTTGGACAATAGTGAATAAATTTATGTACGTATTAACTATGCTAGGACCAATAGAAGAGGTCATGTTAGCCAAAATTTTACTTTATCAATGCAAAATTGCTACTACAGGCTGCATGTGAAGCACAACAATACTGAACCATCACTTGAATTCTATTTGTTATTCTTAATAGAAGTTCAGTGACACCATTTTAATGATTTTTCTATATTATTTGGTGCTAGTCTATATCTTCAATCAATATATTCAAAGAGGAATTACCATTTACAGTGAATATAAGCAGGAATACAATGTAGACTATATAGGATGAGTATTAGTAAATAAAAACTGCAATTTTTTAGAGTAATAATTATGTTTTGTGTGTTACCAACAGCGATCTTTAGTAAATTGGTTGCAAATCAACCTGATGAGACTGTTGACTGATACTTTTATGTAAGTTATTTCATCACAGCTGTACGTATAATATCTATGTTTTAACACTATAAAATTAGGATTATATATGATGTAAGTGAAGTTGAATCTATTGTATATAATGCCTTGTCATGTCAGAAGCCACTAGATTTTAATTGTAAGTTCTTTTTAAAATTTATATGTCTACAATATTAATAGCGGATTTTATAGGTTATTAAGCGTCATAAATCAATTTTTAAATTTTGATTCTATTGAAAAATATTTTACTGTGACAAAACAAGCAAGTGCTGGTATGAATCAAAATTTTATTTGAATTAATGTTTTGTTGTTCAAATTGAATAGTGTGCTGTCAATGTATTTGAAAAAGAGGTAGGGGTGCACACACAGAAGTTTAACTTTTCAGACTTTGCAAGCATACTATGAAGTGGTATGTACAAACTTACAAATTTTAGTTTATTATTGCAACAGTTTGTACCCAAACAACTTGGACAGTTCCATTGACTGTGGTGCTTATCTGTGCAAATTATGCATATCTAATATGTTATTGTTAAAATTAATTGATTTTTAGTTTGCCTATACATCATACTGTGTTGTGATGGAGTGTTCTGATGTGTTGTCCAAGTATAAATTCTATTGTAATGGTTATGCTCTGTCATAACATTGTTTATTAGATACCTTCAAAAT